CAATTTTTCCTTACAACCTAGGAAGCCTCCATAAGCAGGGTATTTCCACTCCAAGGATCTTCCAAGAATTTAGAATTTTCTCCATTTCCCAAAACAAAATAAACCATATCCTCAATCAGATCTTAAGTGGAGATGGCCTTACACGACTACTGAAGTTAGTGAACCTACTAACCACTACATGAACACCAACTCAGAGGAGCTATCGTTATCTCTTATACTTCACACTTCACAGTATATATGAAAAGCCAAAAGTCAGAAGAGAAGAGAACTAAGCTTAGTGTATCCTACACACCATGCAGCAAGCTGAACCTGTTTCTTCCCTCTTGCTTGGTTGGGAATAAGAGGCAGAAATAAGGGTAACTAGAACAAGCAACCATTAGTACTCTAGACTATGCCAGAAACCAATATCCATTTTCAGATTTTTCTTATTGGTCTGCTCTATAGTCTTTCTATTGTTACTCTCCTATTATTCACGATATAGACGACAGGCCAAGAGATGGAAATAAAGAGATCTAGACTTCACTGGCATCTTGAAAGTACAAGTTTTTTCAAAGTTACTCAGACATAGAGACGATGATTAATCAAACGAGTTCATTGTAGGAAGTTTGCATGAAGATGCAAGGTATTAAATGATCCACCCATGCAACCATGCTATTCTAAGTTCTTGCCCCCTAACTGAAAATTGGCATCTTATGGAAGACTCTATATTCCCCTTTACTCAATGATAACCTAAAATTAATGGTCATTTATTATAAAACAAGGAGGAGTATCAAAATACTGATATTCCTGATGACACAAAGTAGTGTGGCTAACCCAGAAGAGCAAATGGCACCAATATTTAACATACTTAGTAAAGGATAATTCCACACCTAGAACAACACCATCGTTTCAGCCTGCAACTTTTCGTTCAGTGCATAAGGTTTCAGTCACATGTTCTGACCTAGCCATCTATCTCTTATCATATTTCGTCCAAAAAAATTAGTGTCTAAATTTTACATGAAGAAAAGTAAGAGTCAACGAACACATAGTAAGAAGTCAAAAATCACTTCCCATAATAGAGAAATTCGAAATTGAGTCCAGGACTAAAGAACTAAGATACCATCATCCCCCTGCCGATAACCAGTAGATAAACAAAAGAAAACAGAGTAGTAAAAATACCAGTAGAAATAACTATATTTTACCCAGCCCTGGAGCATTGTTCAGAATTCACAAATTGAATTCCCCCATTAACTCCCCGAGCTCTAAACTTATTCCGAACCACAAGTGAAATTCAACAAAAAAGAAAAAAGAAAATCTAATTCCTCTATCATGTAAAGTATAGCAAAGTGGATCGAACAAATTGAAAAAGCTATAGAACAAGGCATGGATCAAGAAGAACCCCACATATCAAAACCTCCAACAATTCCGAGAAAACCCATCTGCAGAAACATCAAAATGAAACTGAATACATTGGGCAGGGGAAATTACCGTAAGAAGATCGTTCATTGTGGAAGCAAGCTCCAAAATCAGGCGGCGAAAAGTGTATTAACGAGAGGTTGAAGAGGGGAAGAAGCAGGAACAGAACTTTGTATGTTCCTGGAACAGAGAGAATCGGCGTCGATGTTCAAATTTTGGAGATAGCGAAAGAAAAAGGGAGAGCGACAGATCAGAGACAGAGAGGAAACGGAGGTCGTTTTCCCTTTTTTCTTTTCCAGAAATGAAATATAAATATATAATTTCTTCTTTTTTTATTTTCTTTTTTGTTAATACAAATAAATTATAAAATCCTATATAGTGAAAAATGGTTGAAGGAAGTCAATATACGATTTTCTTATGGATTAAGTCACCTTTTCGTATTAATTAAACTATCTTCTTGGCCAATGAATTGACCAAACTAACCTTCAAACTCTTTTCACTCTTTAACACAATTAAGTAAATGTAGGGTTTAACTTGTTTAAAACACTATTTACTCTTCAAATTAAAAGGTTAATTTTTGTTTGATACTTTTAATTTTTGTTCATTTTATTTCTTTTACTTTCAAAATGTTTGTTTCAGTCTCTGTAATTTTAAAAATTTATCATTTTTGTCGTTTAATTTTATTTTTAATCTCATATTTTCTATCACAATTTCAACACTATACTTAATATCCTAACTTTATATTAAAGGATTTCTATTATGTGTATAATTTGTATTAAAATTTTATATATAGGGACTAAAACGGTCACTTATTATAAAATTACAGAAACTAAAACGAACATTTTAAAAATATACAGACTAAAATTAAAAGTATAGGAACCAAAGTGAACCTTTTGAAAATACGAGAACCAAAATAGTATTTTATTCTAAATATTTAAAAAAAAATTGTTAGTTAAACTGTTTTTTTAACCCAAAAAAATGCTATTTACTTTTTTGAAGAATCATGTCAAACTTAGATGATCAGTATCAATTGATAGAAAAATATTTGTTCAATTTTTCTTCAAAAGATTATTGTGATTTTGTTAATAATAAACTTATTCCTTTGTCATGTCACAATAAATAAACATGTTAAATTTTTTCGGTTATGACTTCATTGATCATATACATTGACTACGGTTCATTAATTGGTGCCAAAAATGTCCTTTCTATATCCTATAAAATTTCTTTCTACTAGACAATATAAATATAGCTAACTAGCTAAGCCACATATTACGGATCAAAAAATCGTGAATTCGAATCTCGACTCAACATATTGTATTAAAAAAAGACTTTTATCTCCTAAATCAATTGAAATGAAAATATCTTAAACAAATAGTTTTGGACTCATTTGGACTTTAAATATATATCTCGATTAAAAAGTTGGAGATTTCAAATCCTAACCCCACAATATTATTCAACTTTAAAAAATATATATCAAGATTCCGAGGTTTATTTTAGGAGGAAAAAACTTAATGATAAAATTGTTATAAGATACTCTCTAACAAGATAATCTTATAAATTGAAGGGTTGCAAAGTGCATCAAATTACATAGAATCATAAAAAGGATGTTATGGTATTCTATTTTCATGCAAGATGAATATCCAAATTTAGATGTCTATTCTGTATTTTTTAAGAATAACTATTAAACAAACCACCCTAAATTTAATTGTTTGAAATGTATTTTATGTAAAATAATGTTAAATTTACGATTTTAAACATATTTTGAATCATTATATTTAGTTAAGTTATATACTTTAAAATTTTAATTTTATCAAATTAATCATTAAGTTTAAATAAGTGGTAAGATTAGTACGCTCAATAGCCATATTAAAAAAAAAATATTGTAGTTATCCATGGCGCTGTTTTTGTTGTTTAATAATTATATGATTTGAACCATCATGAGTGGCTCATTTGGTCCAAAGGGGCTAAGGTAATTAAGAGGGAATGAGTTCAAATCGATGGCAGGAGGTCAAATTTTCAAGTTGGTAAACTCAAGCTAAACACCAATAGCAAAAGCCGGATGGGTAAAAATCCAAAATTGGATATAAACCTTTGGTAGAAGCTCAATGAGTTGGAAACCTTAGATGATACAACGACGAAGGGAAGATCGAGCCGATCGGGTCGGCTCCGACCCCTGTTCGGCACCGAACAGGGCTCGGCCCATTGACCGGGCCGTCATGGCAGTTCATTGAATTATATTTTAAAGTGGAAAAGAACTATTAAATTTAAATATTGATTGACCTTACTTGAAATGATGTAAGCAAAAAAAAAAAGAAAGTAGTAATTATTATTATATATACAATATAAGATGCAAGGAATTATATAAACTTATGATGCAAGTGGCCAATGAGAAGTAGACAAGTCACAGTCTAGTAGTTGATAGGTCTTAGTTGGGCTTCGCATGGAGTTTGGGTATTTATTTATTTATTTTAGTTACTAATTCAAATCTACATACTTAATTACTAAATTCGTGATAAAAAAAAACTACTAAATTGATTGACATTTATAAGTAAATTTAGACTTTAAATTAATTTGTTGTTGATATTACAAATAGTATTGATCAAGATGTAGTTATGGTATAAATCTTATTTGGTTTTGTACTAAAAAAAAAAAAGAAAAAAAGAATCTTATTTGGTTTTTTTAGAAAAAAGAAATATGGTTTTGGTGTTCATGAATTTTCATTCATGGTTTTTTTACTTATAAATTTTTGTTTGAGTGTTCAAGTTTCATAAGCACAAGTTTGGATTCTTGTTATTAAACTTTCGTAACATGATTAAAAAAAATCTTAAACTAGTTATTTTTTAATTTGATGCTAACTCAATAGAATATTAGTCCATTTAATATCTAAAATTCTGTAGAATAAAATATAAACATTTATGCGTACAACTCATATACTTAAAAACAAAATATTTAAAATTTATAGAAACTGAAGTTTGAAACAAGTATAAAAGTTCAAAACAAAATAATATAATTTAAACTAATAGTTTTTTTTTTTGGATATTTTTAATGAATAGCAAAAACATTATATCGGCAAATACTACAACTTTTTAGTTTTGAAAATATGGCAAAAGTTAGATTTTTTTTCGATTCTGTTCCCATTATTTTCAAAGCAAATCTAAAGTATATCACAAATATATTTGATATTAGTGTATTAGTTATATAACTAGTATATCAATGTATAAGAAATATATCAGTGACACTAAACATATGAATGTTATACTTTTTATTAGGTATATTACTAAAATTAGATAGGTAAGAAACCGAACTGAATTGAAAAATTGAATTGAATCAAGTTAATTCGGGTCAGGTCAGTTCAATTGTAATAATAGTTGGTTTCGGTTTATTTGACCCGACCAACTGAAGTCTGTGTAACCTCTTACCGTACCTTTATAGCTCCTATTTTCTCTCTTGCCCTCTCCTCTCCCTCCACAAGTGGCAACAACCTCAGCTCCACATGAAGGAATGCAGTGGCTACGCTAAGGCCACACGAGACCAACGTAGGCCCACGTGTTGCGACCCCAATGGCAGCAAGCAGTGCCACCCCAATGGTAGTACGCGATAGCTGCCCCGAACGACATCAAGCAGCAACGCTATGGCAACCCAACCAATTTCCTCTCCCCCTCATTTGAAGTAATCTTTGAGGTAAGAAAATAGAACATTTTCTTGGTTGAATTTCAATTTCAAGATGGAAAATTTAGTGGGTTGAATTTCAATTTCAATTTTAATAGGGAAAGTGATGGGATCGAATCCCAAGCGGAAGTGGTTGATCGCTTATGATTCAACTCGATTTAAAAACGATACGATACCGATTCTTAAAAACAGAACGATTTCTATTTTAAAGTAGAGGTTAAGCCTCTTGGGAGGAAGAAAACTCACATTTAAAGACTGTTGGCAAATGGTTTTCCCCGAGCACGGATCTTGTGACAGCACGAAAAACGTTCTCAAATGCACGAACCCAAAGGTTGGACACTACCACCACGTTACCTTGCTATGTCTCAAGGACTAAGAACCGGACTGTTGGATCTTCTTTTGGAAAGAAAATGTACAGGGAATAAAAATTCTTGAGATTATGAAAGAGAGAGATTTGTTCCACTGGGATGAACAACAATCCACTCACACGGAAATTCTGTATTTTTAAAGTAAACGAGGGAGGAGGGAGTAACCTCCCATCTCCACCTCACTACTTCCCACCAAAAATAAAGTGGTGAGTAGTTATGTTAATTATATTAATTAACATAATTACTATAACTAATATTTTATTTAATTAAATAATTAATTAAATTAAAACTATTTTAATTTAATAAATTATATTTAATTAAATAAACATTAATTAAAACTATTTTAATTTAATAAATTATATTTAATTAAATAAACATAATTTAATTAAATCTCATTTAATTAAATGAATTAATATTTGAACCATATTCAAATATACATATATGAATCCGATTCACATTAAATTTTTAACCTATAGTTTAACCTATAGTTTTAATATGAATCCAATTCATACTATTCTTTCATAATATATAGTTTTATAATGTATCATCATACATTATATTAAATTGTGTCACCCACAATTAACTCAAATTTCCTTTAATTAAATTTGAACAATTCAAATTCTTTCCAAGACTTAATATTCTTAAATACTTTTTACGAGCTAGTAAGGGACCAAATGGATCTATAGGTCAGAAGCTCCAACGTTATGAGATTAATTGGTTAAACTCATTAACCACCTTAATCAACATACGTTAACTACGAGTTACTCCACTAAAAACTCGCAGCTGAACTCTTCTCACTATAAAATATTTCTGTGTCCATGGATATCGACCATCAACGGCAAATCGATCCTTAATGAGTGTTCATAACTATAGATAGGTCAAATTACCGTTTTACCCTCTGTGTTACATCTTTTACCTTAAGTATCATTGATCCTCTAATGAACAGGTTATGGTCCGACCAATAACTGGAAGTCCTTCTCGGGCCAATGAAAGGCTCGGGCCCCGTATTCAAGTCCCGGAGTCAACACTAAAGGGAACACTCATCTACTCCCCTAAAGTCATAGTTATGTTTCCAGCTCCCCACTCGGTCCCATCTCCAAAATGGTGGGAATATTGGGTCAGCGACTCGGGTCACTCTCATCCATACAGATCAAAGAACGAGCCCTCACGAGCAGGAATCCATAACACACTCAAGATTGAGAATGAGTTGTCTGGTCATCCTATGAAATAGCAATCTATTAGTCAAC